AAAAAAAAGAAAGAAAGAAAGAAAGAAAGAAAGAAAGAAAGAAAGAAAGAAAGAAAGAAAGAAAGAAAGCAACTCAACCTGTAGGTTGAAGATAGGATGAGCTCAATCTGTTCCTTTACCTCAGCTCCTTCTTATGCCTTTCCTCTTCTTTCCTAATTGCCTTTGTTGTCTTGTTTCCATCCTCCTGCCCGAGCCTCTCTCGTGCTGGGATTACAGGTATGCACCACCACACCCAGCCTTTCACAGTTCTCTTACCTGAATTATTTAAAGGTTTTACTTAGTTTTCTTTTTCCTGTTTAAGTGTAAAACCTTACAAGTGATTATAATGGAAATACTTTCTTATTCAATGTATTATGGATAATTTGAAGATGACTGAAGATAAGAATCTCTTAGTAAATTCTATGAAGTTGGGAAAATTTGTGTATGTTTGCACTGCTTTATATCTAGTGTGGGTATATAGCAGGCATTAATATTTGCTGATGAATAGGAAGAAATTCTACAAGCAATTGTGATTTAATTATAAAGCTAAGAATTTCATAATACAAAGATCTAAATAATTCTATTTGTTTATTTATTATTGTCTTTTTGAGACAGGATTTCACCACACAGATCAGGCTGGCCTTGAACTCACTTTGCAACCTGTCACTGTGAGGATCACTTACAGTGATCCTCCTGCCTCAACCTCCCAAGTGCTGGGGTTATTGGTGTGCACCAACTGAACAACTGTTTTAAAGAATAATCACTGGAAGCCTGGGGATGTAGTTTAGTGGTGGAGAGCTTGCCTACCACATACAAGGCCCCAGGGTTAATCCCCAATATTATAAAATAATAATGATAATAATAATAGCATCAATAATCACTGGCTTCTAATTCTGAATTTTCAAAATCCAAGCTTCAAACAAGATTGGTAATATTGGGCAGTAAGAGCCTGCTTAGGCAAGCATAGGGACAGGAGTTCAATCACATGCCGCACCAGCCCACCCTTGGGTGCGCTGAGCCAGCCATGGAGTCTGGGTGTGGTGGCGCATGACTGTGATCCCACTGCTGAGGCGGCTGAAAATGAGGATCTCTGAGTGTGAGCTAGGTAGTGAGGCCCTGTATAAAACACATAGTTTTTTAAAAAAAGATTGGTAACATTGTAACATCAGTTAGTCTGTATTAATCAGTGGGGCTATTTTTTCAAGTTCATATTCCAAAAATGTATGCAATTAATATCAAAGAAACTATATCTTTACAAAGTAGGTGTTTGAACAGATGTCGGTCTGTTAAAAATTCTTTTTCTTACTGAATTTTAGTATTTGTGAAAGAAAACATTAAGCAGTGGCTTTTTCAAAATAATATACAAAAAGTTCTATCCAGGTAGCAACACATGGTAAGAGTTATACTGCTTGAGGTAATATAGTCCTCTTATTTTTAAGCCAGTATCCAATTTGTTTCTTCTGAAGAAGTTCATGCACACAAATTTGTTCCTGAACTTAACCTCATGCCAATGACTTTTTTCCTTTTTTCTCTGTGATTTTTGATTAGCTATTAAGATTAATTCTCTTCTCTTCTTTTGCTTTGCCTTCCAATGAATATGTCTAAAAATTCTTAGCTTTAATTACATTAGCCAGATGTGGTGGTGCACATCTGTAATCCCAACGCTCGGGAGACGGAGGCAGGAAGATCACTGTGAATTTGATGATCTACCAGCGGCTTGAGCTATATAGCGAGATGTTGTCTCAAAAAAAAAAAAAAGTAAAAAAAACAAACAAATAAGTAAAAAGTTAGACCCCAGCTTTATACCAGCTTTTCACGGGCACATCTCAGTGATTAAATGAAAATAAATTTCTCATTGATCAAAACTAAGGACCTTAAAAGAATAATTTGAAACATTTTTTAAAGCATGCCATTCTTTTGGCAGATGGAATGTGATGTAATTATGTTTACTATTAATGCCAAACACCTATCAATAAACACGTCGGGCCTCCAGCTATAAGTGAAACTATAGATAGGAAAAGTGACCCCGCTCTGCATAGGTGCACAGTCCGCTATGGAATCTCTTTGCTCAGTTTTCTCCATCCAATCAGGTGGAATGTTTCACAGGCACATGGTTTGTACAGCTCAAAATAACTTGGGACCTGTGAGCTGACAAGTGCTCTGGCTCCGGGGGTGACAGGTTGCCCAGCGTCTTACAGCCCTCTTCACTAAAACTAAGGTTAACGCCTCGCTCTCTATGGACGGCCGCTCTCCGCTTCCAAGGGCGTGAAGAGTTTTCCTTTTCTCCTGTTCGTCCATCTGAAAGTTCTCCTTGGATAATTATCGTCGCAGTGGAGTGCTGGGGTTGGACAGTCTCATCGGGGTCAACTAAAAAAAGCAAGGTAATTTCCAGATTTCAGTTCACAAGTGTGTTTCGGTAACAGGGAGCTGACAGTGGGGAAAGAGCTACCCCAGAGAGCTAACGACCATTACTCAGAGTGAAACCTGGCACAACTTTCTAACTATGGCTGATGGGTGCACAATTAAAGGAAAACTGAAGCCTCTCACATGGAAAGCTTTTGGAGGAGACTGATGAGACTCACAGAAATCTTAGCCCGAGGAAGTTGGGCTATGTTGCAAATATCATTGGTCTTTTTTACATGTTTATTTACTAAAATAATGTTTTTTATCAAGACAATATATATGCAATGCCTATTTCCTTTTTAAAGGAAATAAAATCTAAAATAATATGACTCCAAAGTTAAAGACTTTCATTTAATTTTTTTTATCATGTAAAAGGATATGCCTGCTATATTTAGTATTGGGAGATCTGCTCCCTGGATTAATGTACACAACAGCTGCAGAAAGTCTGGCTCAAGGGGCATTGCTCTTTCTCTCTCCATTCTCTCTTTCTTTCTCTTTCTCCCTCTCACTCTCTCTCTCTCTCTCTGTCTCTCTCTTTCTGTCTCTGTTCCTCCTTCCCCCTTCACTCTCCCCCTCCCCTTTCTCTCTCTCCCTTTTCCCCTTTTCTCTTTCCCTTTCCCTCTCTCCTCCTTTCCCTCATTCTCTCTCTCTCTCTCTCTCTCTCTCTCTCTCTCTCTCTCTCTCTC